TTAAGAGTGGATGTCAGCAAAAATCGGATATTTTAGCAAATTCGCGGCAACGGTCGAGAAATCGATTCCGCTCATATTTTAACTATATATAGGCCCTAATGTAAGAAATACCACTGTGTAGTTTGCTTGGTGAAATACGGCTTAGTATTCGGGAAAATCGCAGAAAATACTTTTCGAATTAAATTCGCTAATTTTGAGCCGATAATTTAGGTTAACTTCAACAACTTCTCGGGGCCAAACAAAATAACCCAGCGCTGTAGTATTCTCACACGAAGTTAATTGCTATCTTAATATACAACAGGTAGAGTTTCAGCCATTATTGTTTGGGTTTTTGATTTTTATTGCAGTTCTCTTTGGAATACATAGGAAGCCTCTCTCAAAATATGTTCAAAGTAACCTAATTTTTTTCTATGTGCGACGAATTTTTTTTTACTAAAAAACAACCCACAATCGCCTTTAAATGGTGTATTTTGTGAATCGTTTACAATTTAAATTCCCTTTTTAAATACATCGATTGACCCATATAGTATCTACTAGTAAGTGCATAATATTGGTGTCTATTTCTGTCTATCGTCAAACTCACATTTTATACGAGTTATTTCGACAAAACGAATATTTTATGTGTAATAAACAAACCGGACGTAATTCATTGACATTTTCAAAATTTCCTGTCGTTTTCAGCTACTCGTCTTTTATGCTTATCATTCCGGATACGTTATCGAGGGTTTACTAATATTAGTATAAAGATGATTCTCTTTAAATAATAGAATATTCTGATGTGTTTACCTTTGACGCCATATCATTGTAATCTAGTTAAGCAACCGCAACTTTGAACCAGTTTTTCTAGCAAATCAATGTACGGTTTTTTGAATTTGCGCTTGCCAGTGCTGTCAGTAATATTAAGTTCGAATGAAGAACAAATTTCTTGTAGCATGTAAACAGAGAATTTGGAAAGTTTTCTTTGACTTGTTAATTCACAAATATTGTGCCTATCGAACATTATTGGATGCTTCAGGCCAATTGCGTCAATCAAGGAAGCTGATAATTCTTCGATTTCTTGTCCTCTTCTGTTTTCGAAATCTTTCTTATTTAAATCGTCTTCCTCGTAGTCATTGTCATCACCATCACCCCTTTCTTCATTATCTTTATCGCCCGATGTATTTTCCTTTCTTTTTTTCGCCAATCGTGAGAAAAAACTTGCAATCTGCTGCGGTGTTAAAAGGTCGCCCTTGTTAAAAAGTCACGAGCCGTCGCTGTTTCTTGTAGATCTCATTGCTCTTGACACATCACCCGGATCGGCTTTTCGCCCTGTTTGCTCTCTAGCATCAAACACGTCAACCAGGTACTTCTTCTGAACATCGGAAAACCGCTTTCCCTTAGTGGAAGTTCTCAAAGCCCAGCCCATCTGAAGTTCAGGGCCAATATCTGGCTCTGGCAACTCGACGCTCTCTGACTCCGTTGGTATCGGGTTTTTACCGGATCCTTCTTCCAGTTTTGTTGCATATAGCTTCATAGCCTTGTCATAAAGGGTTTCATGCTCTAGTACGTAGGTATGGTTGTCACAATGCAAATGTCTTTCTAGAGAAGAGTACCTGTGGAATGATTTAATGCAGCCTTGTTCAGGACAGAGAAATAATTTGCTGTACGTGTCGACTTTTTCATCGTTGCTTTCGTCCTCCATTGGATCAGTATTATTTTGTTCGCGAGATTTCTTTGGTTGTTGTCTTGCTTTCACTGCGACGAATGATACTGTATCCTCGGTTTCCTCGCTATGGATAAGTTTTGGTACCGTTGGGGGTCGACAGAAATTGGTCAAAGGAAGGACTTTGCCTGGACCATTATTGTATGCCATCCACACCGTCATGGACTCATTGCGGTACTCTATGTTGTTAATGAGACTCACACCATCCCATTCCCCTGCCATTCCCTTGACACCAGGTGGTGGAGCGCACACTGTTACTTTCACTCCTGGGATGCCTTCAAAGGACTCGATTGCTGCCTTCATTTGCTCGGGATTTTCGATATCGTTCCCTGAATTCAGGTATTTATTCATGTGATTTTTAATATGAGCTGCCTTTCGGTCGCACGCTCCCTTCCCCCCTTGGGGATCGGAAAAATCGATACGTCTGATTTGAATTCCAGTTGATCTCTCTATCGTTGGCAGAGAAAGCAGAGTTAATGCAGAGTGGTAGCACCCTGCATTATCTTGACGCAGATATACGGTATGCACCTCTGGTGCAATGGTTGAGAGCTGACTTAAGACGTCATGAATGATTGCAACAACAGCGCCACTATCCTGGCTACAAGACTTAAACAAGTGCAAAAAAGTAAGCACTTGGAGGTCGCCATCATCATTCTTCTTTGTTAATACCGCTATGTGCCAAGGAAGTCCCCGTTTTGCAAACCAATCTCTTTGGCTTTCACGGTATTTGCGAGGAATTAATTTCATTGCCCAGTCTAGAACGATAAGTGCAGAATGAGAATCCAAGACTTTTAAAATGTCGTGTCGTGCTGCGTCCTGATTAATTGATCTTAAAATATGTGCTTTCCAGGATCTAATGTGTTGAGCTGCTTGTGTAGTAACGTACTCCATGTTTTCTTTCTCTTCAAGAGGGCAATTTACTTCTTCCAAAGATGCGCAAATATCAGCTAGAGTCTCAGGAAATATACTGCATCTATCACACTTTCCCTTGTGCTCATGATCACAGCTGGTGGTATAATTTTCATTATTTGGAAAACTGAGAGCATATGTTCTGCAGTGGTGCGCAACTTCAGAATTGCTAGAAATGTGAATCTAAAAAGAATATATGAATCAGATACAAAATGAACTATTCTAGAATGATTCTTACATGCGCGAATCTACAAAAAATCCAATAAGCTTTCACTTGTTTATACCTTGTAGTCTCCTTTTAAGTAACGTTTAGCATCTTTGAGTTTTTGGTTTGTTTGTTTGGCCCATGCCAAACCCTTGCCATAACGATCTCCAAGCATGTCAACGACGTTCTCTAGATCATCAAAGACCTGACCACCCATTGCTGATATATAATCGAGGCCTTGCAACGACGTACGTGCGGAAGCAGAACAGACTTTAAGAACCCTGCGCAATGTACTGCGGCTCATCGGTTGGAAGCTCACCTCCTTGCAATATCCTTCGTACTGTTGGATACATTGTTCTGGTATAAGATTGCGCACAACGTTGGGAATCTTTATTTCTCTGTGAGTGGACAGTTTTAGTGTTTTTTCTCCAAATGGTAAGTCTTGTATGATGTGCGAGCTTGTAATAAAAGTAACAAAATGGTCGATTTTTTCCGGCTGAATGTAAACTCTCGTATTCTTTAAATGGGGGAGTTCCGCGCCCCTACCGTGAAGCAACAGATGATGTTTTGCAATATTGAAACGATATCTGGTCAAGGTTGGTATCCATTTTTGCAGTTCTTCGAAGGTGACCTTATCAACCATTATAGACAATATCTGTCTACGCGTGCTCCAATGGCTCGTGTTATTATAACACTCCGTTAAAGCATCCAATAAGAAAGTATCAATATTTTTATCACTGCCCAACTTGTCGCATGCTAATTCTTTAAGTAGCGTGGATGATTGTCCAGGAACGATTTCTTCTAGGCATGCAGTAACAACTTGGCGCGCTTTGCGCATGTGAAAACGTTTTGTTCGGTCTGAAACTTCTTCGAATGGTGCTGATAAAGTATACCTGATGGGGCTAACATCTCTTGAGGTTAGAAACGCATTGAGATTCTCTCTTGGTGTAGACAGTGTAGTTGATATATCTTCTGAAATAGTCGAAGTAAAAGACGTCTCGCCCGGTTTGTACAGGCTCATGCCAGTACTTCCAACGTCAAACGTTGTTCGTTCACAAACAGGTGTGGTCATATCTGGAGAGAACGTTATTTCCAACTCGTCGTCTATATTCTTATTCTGTTAAAAAATAGGCATGGAAGCGATTATAATCATATGAGCAAATTAGAAGATAAGAATTTGTGATATCTATGGTACAGTGTTGGTGCAAGAAATCCCGTTGAGTCCCCAACCTCCCATGCACCAACCAAATTCCAGCATGCGTCTGGCGTCTTCAGTGCTCTTCCAGCACACATATTAGGGACCGATCATTAATTACAGGAGAGGAGCTGATGGAAATGAAAACTTAGATGTTAAAATTATGTCCCCCCCCCCTTGAGGATGCAATAACAAAAGAGACATACGTAATTTAAAGTTCTTATACAATGTGAAGCCACTTTAATCATATTACCCTATATATCTTTATATATTATCTACCATTAATCGAGTCAACGGCCATTCCGATGCAATGTACATGCAATGAACCATCTCAATGAGTAAAAAATAAATACACTTATTACTTTATGTTCAGTTTAATAAATTTTAATAAATGTTGTTGTGACCTTGGATTTGAATATTTGGCATTGTGCTTACCACAGGTGTACTGCTCTCTATTTTTCACCTGTAGATTATATGATATGACGGGGTCACGGGGCAGGTATTCATATTGAACAAAAATGTCCCCCCCCCCTTTCATGCAGAAAAATATCTGACCTCCCCTCTTTTTCACCAGCTCCCCCGCCCCGTCCCTTGTAATTAATGACCGGTCCCTTAGAAGACTGACACTTAGTTGAAAGATTTGAAAACCGTTGCAATCACTAGCATTGGCTGGGACGCTTAATCTAAAATCTACCGGATAATAACCTGATGTAGAAGCTTTCATTTCCCGCCGTTTCCCACGAAAACTGAAGATAGAGTTCCAGGTATAAAATTCGACACGCAATACAAATAACATAATTCAAACTTACCAGTGTTAACGCATCCATTTGATCGATAACACTCTCTGCTTTATGCGGACTGGTTAGCACTAATGCTCTTAACTTCTTACGACATGTTGAATGAATACCTGGATAAAACAACACATAGAAAATTCAAGAATCAAGCTAGTAATTAATATGTTATCAACATAAATCAACTCGAAACTATTCAACCACTCTTACCTGAACCAACCTGCAAAAATATACCAGTCATCTTCAATATTAACCGCGAATCGTCCTTATTTATTCCTCTATCGCACTTTGGCCACTTTCTGTTTGCTTGCCTGTGACTTGACAGTGCAGCGGGTACCCTACACCTTGCATTATTGCCTCTGCTCCACCCCAGGCCAAGTTTGGATCGATGTAGCGGGCAAATTGTCCAACAATGGATATTTTCCGGCGAAATAAATATGCCTGCTTGGCTAAGAATCAGTTCTACCTCGCTTTCGATGCCAGAAAATTCAAATGTTGATTTATGTGCCACGATTTCCTTGTTACAAGCTTGTAAAGGAATAACTACAGTGCTTTGTGTTCTATCTTTTCTATCGTATCCACAGGTGCCACCAATAATCTCCTTTAGCGAGCAAGAAATCTCCATTTATATAATTATATATCTGGCCGAATCTATATAAAGTTTTATCACGCAGTCTTCAGATAAATTTTTATAGTGTAACAATACAGGTGGATTGTTAATAGCAGCCAACCCTGGGTTAAAATTTAACCCGCTGGTGGTGTTTTGTTTTTTGACTTTACTCTTCAGTTTATTTCTTTACGTTTGTTTACAAAAAAAGGCTTTGTAAAACCTGTGGTAAAACAAGACTTCTATCGACCCAGAAAGTAAAACACTTTCATGTTTTTTTACGCAGGCTATAGGGCCGTACGTTACAGGTTTATGTAATATTAAACACAGACGGATAGTTGCCAATTTCATCTACATGTATTTAATACAGTAATAAGGTAATAAGTAACTGCTTTGAATTTCACGACGCTGATGGCAATATTGCTGTTTTAAGGTACCCATGCATGGCCGTGTTGCAAACGTTAAGCCCAAAAGACGGGCGACAGAAAAGGACAGGAAATTTCGAAAATTTCAGTGAATTATGATATTTGTTTTGTCGAATTAACTCGTACGAAATGCGAGTTTGACGATGGACAGAAATAGACACCAATCAGTATGCACTTACTAGTGGAGACTATATAGTATCTGGGTCAATCGATGGATTTTAAAATGGGAATTTAATATAATTTGTGATTAGTCAGTTCCTTTTACGATGAAGAACATTCACTTTGTTCTTAGTTAAAATGCAAACACTGAGCCGCTTTTATAAACGCTACATAGTACATATGTACACAATATATAAATTGATTGATCTTGCCAACATGCAAAATTTGTAAATTTCTTACAACTTTGGGGATGCGTTGCATCACGCAGAATAATTTCCCCAAGAAAATTTTAAACGATTCACAAAATACACCATTTAAAGGCGATCGTGGGTTGTTTTATAGTAAAAAAAAATTCGTCGCACATGGAAAAAAATTAGTTTACTTTGAACCTATTTTGAGGGAGGCTTCCTATGTATTCCAAAAAGAACTGCAATAAAAATCAAAAACCCGAACGATAATGTCTGAAACTCTACCTGTTGTATATTAAGATAGCAATTAACTTCGTGTGAGAATACTACAGCGCTGGGTTATTTTGTTTTGTCCCGAGAAGCTGTTGAAGTTAACCTAAATTATCGGCTCAAAAATAGCGAATTTAATTCGGAAAGTATTTTTTTTCGATTTTCCCGAATACTAAGCCGAATTTCACCAAACAAACTACACAGTGGTGTTTGTTACATTAGGGCCTATATATAGTTAAAATATGAGCGGAATCTATTTATCAACCCTTGCCGCCCAATGTTCGATTTTTGCAGACAATCACTCTTAAACGTTGTTTCAATCTCTATGGCCTCATCATACGTCTTCCCCACGCACGAGAAATGAATCCATTGGTCACAGGAGATGCATTTTATCATGCCCGAACATTTCTTTTTATGACAACAGTTGCATGCTTTCTTGTTGCTGCTGCTTGAGCATCCAGGTCTTTTTTGGCTAGGATGTTCACTTTCTAAAAATTAACAACATGCTAAATTTAATGAATGATGTAATAACAAAATGAAATATTTAATTTTTCGTTTTGAATTCGGACAGTACTGCACAAGTGGTTTTTGTTCCTTGGTTCCGCCTTTGGTAACTTTGATCAACAAGTATATTAGCTAGATGACTAGATCTTTTATATGTTTGATCTGCAAACAAATCTGGCGGTGAAATAAGTACTGAAATGTGGATGCATTCAAAGTCAGATCATGGACAGGTGGCAGCAGGGGTGAAGCAGCGATTTTGGGGTTAATTTTTAAATGTTTAGAAGCGTTATAACATTTTGAGTTATTTGGCTGTAAGAAAACTTTTAAAATTTCCTTTTATGAACGGTTCTGTAAACTTTTAAAAACTGAAAAAGCGTGGTGCCGAATCGCATCCCATTTTCATATATTCTGATTCACAAATTACAGACCGTTTATATATAGCCATTTGGCACAAAAAATCATGAGTTGCCTGTTACGTGGGAGGGGGCAACAAATGGCGGGGTGAAAATGAGTATATTAAAAACGTTTGGGCATGATCAACCAAAATGCAATGCGTACGTTTGTTTACGTTTCTGTTACGTTGTGGGTCAGAGGCTGGCAGCCATTTTCGTGGCCTCAAAAATGGCGGCAACTATTGAGGGAAGTTACCGGAAAACGTAAACTAAGGCGTGACTTGCATTATGCCCCTTTAAAAAGTATTAAAATTAAAGCTTGGACTCACTAAGCAATACCTTTTTCAAGTTCGATGTCTTGGTCTTCGACGTCTTCTACCAAGCCTTAAGTTAAATGCACAAAAATCTTCAGTGACGGTTTTGCGTAATATACTCTGAACACGTATTTCAAGTTACAATGAATATTTATACATGTCTGGTAAATTTCTATATATTTAATTTCTACAAATTTTTCCGCTATTTCCTTGTTCGTTAGTCACGCCACGATTAAAATATTAGAGGTGAATAAATATTGTCATATATTAATATTGTTACATATATTAATAGAAGAAAAAACACAACAGGATATGGGGAAACAAAACTATTTCACTGGGGAGCAAACATAAAGTGTTTAATAATAAATGAATGAATAAAATACTAAGCGAGCGCAATGCCAAAGATAGCTTACAGTGTACAAATTACTTTTTTGACTGACTGCCAAAATATATGAAAAGTTATTGAATTTAACTGTTTACCCTTAAACTTACCGGAATCGTCCAATGTACGCGTTGGCGTTTCCATGTTTTGAGAGTCTCCTGGACCACCTGCATGCGTTTTTTTAATATAAAGAAGTAATTGAATTATTAACAGACATTTGTGAGACCTTCTAGAGATATATGAGACAGTATACTTACGAACTATATCATCAATTCCTCTGGCAACGATACTTGATGTGCTAGGTGTTGTAGGGTGCGTATTTATTATCTTCTCTTTTAATGTACAAATTTCTTTCTTGTAATTAGAAATTTCATCGTCTTTTTCTTCAACTTGCATAAATAAATCTTGTCGTAGTGTTTCCATCTCTGATTCGTACCACTGCTTAGTATCATCCAGTTGTTTACGATGCCTCTCTCTGATCTCTTGTAACTCCATATTCTTTTCCATACAACTGTCGCATTTCTTGGTTTCTTCAATATCTTCAGTATCTTCGTCGCTCATCTCATTGATGTTGTCTGTGTCGTTGTCGAAGACTAGTTTGCAAAAAAAATAGTGTACCTGTCACGTTTTAGGGGGAGTTACTGTTTTTAGACTTGTAATTTTGTATTCTTAACCCTATACTCTTTCTCTAATCCTAATCTTAATCCTAACACTTTCCATAATCCTAACCCTGAAGTCTAAAAATAGTACCTCCCCTTAAATTGACTCATATGGAAAATAGCAATATCATGAATAGGTTATTTTTTGAGGTTATATGATGTAGAATGTTCAACAGTGCAAATTGAACTCGCGACTTTACTGCTTTAGTTACTAAACTTTAAGTATATTTTTAAAAATTCACATAAATTTGGGATGAACAATCTTCCGATGACAGGCTTCTGTGATTAAATAGAGTTTACTACATCTACACTACACTATACATCACTCTACACTATTTTCTAAAGATTTAGAACGAAAACTTCTATTTTCCGCAACTACCTAAATCTTATGTTTCCAAAACCTTTGTTGACCAGGGTAGCATTCAATTAGGTCACAGTAATCTTCAAAATCGATACATAATAGCTAAAGCCTATTTCAACATCACTTGTAAATACCTACTTTTATCAATTTGTGCCAATGTCTCCTTTGCTCAGAGCGTGCCTTGGAATACGACTGCAAACAATTTTCTTTGGTTGTCCCAGGAATGTCGACTTATAGTCCGTAGTTGCACCTTTAACTTTGTGAACTAACTCACGAACACTGGAATCACTGGGGGCAGTAAGTTTGGCCTTTGTCACACATTCCAACGCCTTGGGAATATAGAATGCGAGGTAATCGATCGACCGATTTTCCTTTTTCCCCTTCACAATTGGCCTCATCCACTTTCCAACCTATTCAAAGGAAACATGCATTCGACTATTTCTTTCTCTAACAGTATAAATGACATTTAAGCTTATTAAAATACATGCATGCAATAACCCCACCCTATATTCAAAATTACAATGGTTTTTGCCTAATTATTCCAATGCAGTTATAAAAAATTGAGAGAAACTCTAAATAAAAAAGAAATTAAAGTGTCATAGTAACACGAATGATTTGATCGGGAAATTATGTTTACTTTTAACGAGTAGATTAGTACTTTTAATGATAGATTCACCAATTTCCAAAATACATATTGTGGGTATGCTAATATAAGCTATCAACTTCCTGTAAATATCAACTTCGTAAATGGTTGTTAATTAAAACACAAATTATATTATGTTTACCTCACGTTTATCGAGTTGTGCCTTGGTTATGGATTTGGCCAGTAGCTGGAATATTTCGTCCAAGGATGTATGCGCCTGAACAGTTACATCGTAAAAAGATGTGACGTATGGCATGAACTCGTCGGTCAAATATTGATCAAGGGTTTCCTTGTCGAGTAGTTCATCATTGTTGATCACCTCGATAATCTATGGAATATTCCAAAAAATAATTCGGAAATGCACTAAATCAAAACGCCGGTGCATTTTTAGGTAGTTACTGTATACTAACAGGAACAGGCATACATGAGCCACAGTATGGAGAAGATACAACTACCTAAATTAGCTAAAAATCTAAACAGAGGCTCTGCCTTTCCAGTAAAGGCCCTTCGACAACATCTTTTTGTACTTATCAGGCAGTTCTTTCAACTCGTTTTGCTATAGTGTTTATTACATGTTATATGTATTTTGTAAATTGTTTAAATTGAATGTTAGAAATATGTTTACGCGGACTGGTGTTGTTTTGCTCGGACATTGACGAAAATTGAGATATTTTTTGAGAAAAATATAAGATTTAAAATTACAAATTAATAGAAAGTTGATAGAAATAGACGAAGTTGGAAGTTATCTTTCTATTTCTCATGCAGGCAGGCACAGTTAAAATAACATTTAAGATGTGACTTACCAGATGGGAAATCAGCCTGTACACGGAATAGATTTCCGCTAATCTTGGAGATAAACCACTTAAATGTCGCATGAAGAAATTTGTATGTAATGCAACATTCTCGTGGTTTAATCAAGTACCCATATTGATTACATCCATGATGCTGTGTGTGTTGGCCATGAGGAATATCGTTTGCCTAGTATCTAAGAACTCGTCCACGTTCTCACATTCTTTGCCTTTAACCTTCTTAAACCATATTGGTATGGTTCGTTCAAATGACCTAAAATACAAAGAATAAAATATTTAATGAACAACCATGCAGATGGATAATAAGCTATCACTTTCAACTGAGTTCAACATGACATTGTTTTAATTATACGTATTGCAATGATGGAATATTTTATTATCTCATTACATTCTGCACTTGGCATACCTCATATCATCTTCCATCTTAAAATTGACTGTCAGCAAAAATGATGTGCGCGGTGTTTCACTTCCTTGTTCTTGAGTTTGGTTGCTAAGTCCATTAAATACTGAAACCAGCGGCCGACGTGTACTCGATTGATGTGTTGGATCATCCCAGCCCAATGGAAAGGTGGTCCCTTTTAAGAACGACACAATGAATTCACCCGACGACTGCGACACCTTGTGCATGCCTATTAGCTCGGCTACAAGTTTTAGTGCAGTAGACTTGCCACTTGATATCTCGCCAACTGCAGTTGCAACAGGGCATGAACCTAAAAAATAATATGACATATTACTGAAGCTATCTTATGTGTTCCATCCTCTAGCTGAACATGGTAAGGAACGGTAAGAACAGCTGCACAAGCTTTCTTTAATGACAGCAGTGCGGGGCAGCAATTTTTTTACAAAGTTCCGAGCGGGGCTGGAGATTTTTATCACACCAACCTAAGCGGGGCTTGTTTTTTTTAACATTAATTCAAATTCGGACCGGCGTACAATAAATTTTGCATGGCCCCTTACCTAAAATGCTAAATGTTTGTTAATACTTAAATATACTGAATAATTTCTTACCTACACAAGATAACACTTTTTGGTAGTGAAAAGCTGCAACACCACCACTCAATAATAAGACAAAAGGCAAAAAATTGCCCTTGAAAAAGTCCTTCGCCTTGGAGATGAATTCACACCAATCAAAGGAACGGAATGGTCGTTCGATCTTCATCACGTAAGTCTCCAGTTTGCCTTCCAAATACCCTCTTACGTCCCTTGTCACTCATAGCCGATGGCATAAGACGCAAGAAGGGGGCCATCCACATGAAATGCCAGTTTTCTTCCTGGATTTCGCCATATCTGTTGACCTATAAATATTTCAGATTTGCACATCACAATTATCCTTGCGAAGTAATGTGAAATAAACATATTCATTAGATTTGTCACAATCATTTTGCATTATAACATTCACCCTCTGGTTTGGTAAAATTTGAAATCATTTTTTCGAGCATCTCCATGAAATAAACCGGGTTATTTTACCGGCTGTATTTGAATAATTCAGCAAACAAATATTTTTACTATCAACACACACACACACATATATACATGTATTTAACAAATAGATAAGATTTTGACGTTGTCTGTTCATGCAGTTATAGATACACAGTATGACATCACCATGTGGCTCACGAACAAAAAAGTGGTCACGAGGCGAGTGGGTCACCTTTTTGTTCTTAATTCACATTATGATGTCATAGTGTGTATCTATAACTGAACAGACAAGGGCAAAATCTTATCTATTTGTTTTGTATAATAAAACGAAAACCCCTAATTAAACAGGTAAATAGCTTGAAAAATATCATGAATTTTGACAAATATCACACGTACATGATCTATACAAATAAGGGAATGCTATTAGCTACCTTAATTGTGACGTATTCCGTGCATCTGTCCTCTAATAGATCATGGCTCTCGACGAATGAAAGCGCTTGAATTGTTAACGTTATTATATATATATAGGATGAAATGTTCTCGAATGAATTATTCCAAACCGCGCATTGAGAACATTTCATCCTATCATACTGTATTACTGAGTGAACAATATATATCACACATGAAGATTTCACGTCGAAAGTCATAGTTGAGAGCCATGATCTATTAGACGACAGACGAATGGTTCTTGTCATAACTAGCAAGTCAATCAAATTCGCCACAATCATATTGCGTGATATTGCGTGATTACGGCATTTTTTCTTTTTTTCAACGCTCCCAAATTTGGTGGGAATACGACAGGCTTTTTACTTCAAGTTTAGCGCTGAATAAGCTGTTTAGCACTGACGATTTGCACAGAGAACGTCAGAACGTGGTAAGAACATGAATGACTGACCCACTCGGCCGGGCCACTTTTTGTTTTTTACCACGTTATGACGTCATCTTGTGCATCTATAACTGAACAGACAACGGCAAAATGTTATCTATTTGTTAAACAAATATAATAACAGTTCATTTGATAGTCTGATAGCATAAATCATTTTCTTACCTGCAATTTCTCATTCATAATATAAACCGCTTCATCGAAGTCGTCAACCAAATCTTTCCAAGATTGAAGGCTGTTTAACTCTGCATCTTCAACAGCGACAAGATTTCCTCTTTCGTTTAATCTTTTCATATTCATTTGTCGACCTGTAGTTAGCGTTCCAACCAGTGTCTTACCACTATTGGTAAAAAACTCGCGAACTTTTGTCCAAGTGTAGTCGATCAATTGTGAGTCCGATAGATTTTGCCAAAAAACACCACAATTTTCATTAAATCTTCTGTTTATTGCTGCTTTAAAATGCTTAACCACGTGTATTTCTTCGCAAGCAACAAAACATTCCCTACACAAAACAATATGGAAAAAGATACGTTATAAAATAAACCGTATATGGAATAAACTGAATTATTATACACCAATAGTCAAAGTCGCATTTTTCTAGTTTTTTATTCATACATGTCCAATACTCCCGCATTTCACGACTCGTTACAAGTTGTCACAAGTCGTGAAATCCATCGCAAGGTACAAGTTGATGTAACTCGTCACGATTTCACGACTCGTTACAAGTTGTCACGAGTCGTGAAATCCATCGCAAGGTACAAGTCGATATAACTCGTCACGAATTTCGTCACGAGTCGTAAAAACGCAAAAATAGTACCGGGTTTCATCTCTTCTGAATTTACGAACTTGCTTACATGAAGTTTGCACTGCCTAGTCTTCATATGATGTTGTGCTGATGTGGTTCACGAATTTCGTGACGAGTCGTAAAAAGGCAAAAATAGTATCGGGTATCATATCTTCTGAATTTATCTTTCCTGTAAGCCCTGCCGTAATATATATTGATGCCTGTTCTTCAAAAATGCAGTCTACAAGTATACTTATACTTCGGCATTTTTTGCTTCCTTGAATTTGGTATCTTTATATAAAGAGTATACATTGGCATTGAGCAATTGCGCGTATACAGTACGTATGGCATTGCTAGCTTCACTCTAGCTTCACTGAAGCTTGTATATATCTTTATATTTACCGAGTGCTCCTTTATATATCAGTTGAACACTTGCATGTATGGTGATAAATCCTAAATAAGCCATGTCAGTGAATATTCTATACGGTTGTATACAATATTCATGCATCATACGATATCTATATATTGTGATCATGCCTCGTTCTTCAAAAACCACTCTACAATTGGTATTGCTAGCTTCACTGAAGCTTGTATATCTTTATATTTACCGAGTGCTCCTTTATATATCGGTTAATTAAACACTTGCATGCATGGTGATTAAATCCTAAATAAGCCATATCAGTGAATATTCTATACGATTGTAAAGAATATTCATCCATCATACAATATATACATAAATATATATTCTGATCATGCCTCGTCCTTCAAAAACCACTCTGAAAGTATACTTTGGCATTGAGCGATTGCGCGTAACAGTTTGGCATTGCTACTTGCTAGCTTCACTGAAGCTTGCATGTATATCTTTATATTTAACGAGTGCTCCCTTATATATCGGTTGAACACTTGCATGATAACTTTGTATTAGCTGAGAAAATACAAGTTGAAATTTGAAGCGTGTTTTATCACATATAAAGACACGCCACGCTTATGATTTCTCTTTGTGTTTTCCTCACGAATTATTAATGAGTTTTTGAAGTAAGCTTAAAATGTTAAGAATATTAGCATGCATGCAACCGACATGTATAGTGTAAAAACGCGATAAGCCAGGAATTTGGTTTATGACTATATGCATGCATACGTCAGTGTTACAGTGATCCGCTTACAACGAGAAAACGAATATGCGTATATACGTATCGTCATCGCTGCAGGATTGTCATAAAATATTGCGAAATCCTGCATTAATCAATTAATAAAATCAATTGTAAAATATATGCTTTTTAAAAAATATAAAACCAATTTAACACTCAAATCCGGAACGGTAACAAATATTAATGCAATGAAACACAAAGCAAAGGCTTAGTCACCTTAGTGCGTTTCTGTTGCTTTCTTTTAAACAACTTCCTATTCCGTATTATCGCATATATTATCTTCCAAGCAGTATAAACAATAGGTTTTTACCAAATAACATTGGTCATTGGGAACTGTAATTTAATATACCACAAATACGAAATTTTTATCAGAAAAAATATATGCCTTCATCTTAGCTTGAATCGAGCGTATTTTAATTAATGACTTAAAGTGCTTTCCAAATTGATCCGAAATATCCAACTTATTTGATTGCTCTTCCTTTTTGACTTTTTTTATCATGTTTTCCAACTTATCTTGCAAATTATTTACCGCATCGTATTGCTTTGTGACATCATCACATGGTCTCTTAAATTTCGCCGCTTCCTTTGTATGCCCTTCCTGCATGTTGTCATTTTTTCATTTACTTTCTCGTCAACATTATACTCAGTTACACCATGCTTGCCGTATATACTCACTTTTTACGATCATATACAAAATTTCCAACAACTATAGGTATTGTGTTGCCACTTGGCTGGTACACTCTTAAGTCCTCCACGACTCGTGAAACATTCCTTACAAGTTGTCACGAGTCGTGAAATTTCACGGATTTAACGAGTCGTACGAATTTCGTGAAGTTCACCACTTGGCTGGGTGCACTCTTAAGTTCTTCACGACTCGTGAAACATTCATTACAAGTTGTCACGAGTCGTGAAATTTAACGGATTTAACGAGTCGTACGAATTTCGTGAGGTTCACCACTTGGCTGGTGCACTCTTAAGTCCTCCACGACTCGTGAAACATTCCTTACAAGTTGTCACGAGTCGTGAAATTTCACGGATTTAACGAGTTGTACGAATTTCGTGAAGTTGACCGCTTGGCTCCTGCACTCTTAAGTCCTTCACGACTCGTGAAACATTCCTTACAAGTTGTAATGAGTCGTGAAATTTAACGGATTTAAGGAGTCGTACGAATTTCGTCAGGTTCATCACTTGGCTGGGTGCAGTCTTAAGTCCTTCACGACTTGTGAAACATTCCTTACAAGTTGTAACGAGTCGTGAAATTTAACGGATTTAACGAGTCGTACGAATTTCGTCAGGTTCATCACTTGGCTGGGTGCAGTCTTAAGTCCTTCACGACTTGTGAAACATTCCTTACAAGTTGTAACGAGTCGTGAAATTTCACGGATTTAACGAGTCGTACGAATTTCGTCAGGTTCACTCCTTGCCTCCTGCACTCTTAAGTCCTTCACGACTCGTGAAACATTCATTACAAGTTGTAACGAGTCGTGAAATTTCATGGATTTAACGAGTCGTACGAATTTTGTTAGGTTCACTCCTTGCCTCTTGCACTCTTAAGTCCTTCACGACTCGTGAAACATTCATTACAAGTTGTAATGAGTCGTGAAATTTAACGGATTTAACGAGTCGTACGAATTTCGTGAAGTTCACCACTTGGCTGGGTGCAGTCTTAAGTCCTTCACGACTCGTGAAATATTCCTTACAAGTTGTAACGAGTCGTGAAATGCTGCTGTATTGGACAACCATCTTTTTATTGGTCGAGAGCATATCACGTTTTTGCTTCAAAAACGATCGATAAGATTGATAGAGTGAAGGATAATAAACGATCGACTATGGTAATTAGTTCATTGGCGAAGTAATTTTCAAAAAAATATTTTCAAAAAATACGTTGTGTAAGTCGAGAAAATCAAAGTTAACTTTTATGTAAATCAATGGAAATCTCTATTACATATAAAGATACGACACGCTTATGATTTTTTCTTTGTGTTTTTCTCATGAATTATTAATGAGTTTTTGAATAATTTTTAAAAAATTGGTTCCACATATGTTTTAAACTCGGCCAAATAGTCTACTATGCTACAAGAAAATGTTTTTTTTTAGATAACAAATGGGGGTAACCGGGCAATTTTTTTAGTAAAGTGTCAAGTTTTGATGCTTGTGATGTTACTCTGGGCGTATATCCATGTCAAGTTTTGCTGCTTGTGATGTTACTCTGGGCGTATATCCACACCGGGCAGGCTTGAAAAATATGCCTGGCCACAGTGGGAATCGAACCTACGACCTTTGGAATACTAGCCCAATGCTCTGCCAACTTAGCTACGCGGTCAGGTCGGTTGGAGTATGTAATATTTCGGAACCGAATCTAGTTCCTTCGATACCAATGTAATCTAATAATCATACTGCATGATAACACTCAGAGTATAACATCACAAGCATCATATTCACCCGAGTAGATTGCACCAACACAGAAAAAATCATGATTATTAGATTACATTGATATCGAAGGAACTAGATTCGGTTCCGAAATATTACATACTCGAACCGACCTGACCGCGTAGCGCAGTTGGCAGAGCATTGGGCCAGCATTCCAAAGGTCGTAGGTTCGATTCCCACTGTGGCCAGGCATATTTTAAAGGTTTTTGCATGCTCTGAGTATTAAGCCCCGTTTACACGAGCAAATTTTATTTGACAAATTTCATATGTCAAAGATATTTTGCTCGTGTAGATGATAAATTTGTGACAAATTTATTGTGACAAATGCATTTGAACAAAAGCTAGCTTGCTAGCTTTTGATCAAATGCATTTGATCAAATAAAATTTATCAAATAAAATTTGCTCGTGTAAACGGGGCTTTAGGCCACATAGAAAAAATAGTTGATTAGCGTCCTTAGCTTTTGCCAAAAAGTGGGCGGGCGGGCGCTTTTTTTTTTAATTTTTACTAATTTTTAACGCCTTGGTTTTAGGTCCGAAACTGGATTTTCTTGCGCAGTACAGATATTTTTTTATATAGTTCAAAATATGATTCATACCATCATTTTTGCACGCAATTTCGCAACTTATCAGAGGCAATTTTTTACTATGTCACGTATTTGCAATGAAAAAGTGTTCAAAACCTAATATATTTTTGGCGTTCCTCTCAAAATTACTTTGTTTTAGCTTTATTCTCTAGTTTATAGAGTTAGCTACTTTTTAAATGCATCTGCCGGTTGAGAAACATAAAATAATAGTTAAAAATTGTCAATTAAAATACAATTATCAAAGATGATTTAAAATTGACGCCATATTTACAGCAATATAAAAAGGAACAAAACAGTTATAAAAAGTCGCTTCTTCTAGTGGAAAACAGGTCTTATAAAGCCTAGCTAAATGTTTTAGCGAGTTCTAACTTTTCTGATTTGGCAACAAGAACATTAAAGTTTGAACTAGAAAATGCACAACATTTCAAACCCACTCAAAATTAAAGGGGCAGTGTCACAGCGCTGATTGGCTAAAATAAACGGCGCAAAGAAACGTTTAAAATTAATGCTACATGATTGGAAAAGATGCAGCAGCCTTCAATTTTTAAAACAAAGCAAGGATGTCCTGCATAACGAAGGGATTATAAATAGTATATCGTATTTAACTCCTAACTTGATTAATTGTTGGCAGACAGTTTTTCAAGTTCGCACATATTTTGGATGCGCAGTAGAACCATGTCACTGCCCATTTAAACACTGAACATCAAGTCACGCAAACTATATGTTTGTGTGTATACACCACAAGTCACCATTACATTGAAATACATTGTTTGTACAATCAAAATGTCCCAAATAGAGTCTGGGTACTTAGCAACAGAAGCATGAATTGAAAATAAACATGACACATCAGCGATAGGAAATTGGGAATCATGTGTTGCATGTGTCTTAATTAAACAACGATTTTTTAATCGGTGACATGATACATCTACCTACTTATATCACCTGGAAGCAAAGAAATGCATTATATATAGCCATTGCTGTACTCACATTGACACATTATCAGTGCGATGAACGTTCAAAATCCACCCATTGTATCGCGCAAGATTTAGGATCGCAGGGAACTTCACACACGCTTTTATCGTGAAATAGAAATTCGAGACACATTTGTATTTGTCCTTGCTGACTTTTGAGTGAATAGCTCTCACCCCGTCCTGGTCTTCCCGTACAGACAAACTCTTCATCGGCGAAGTCATACTTCACAAGCAAATGGTTTCTATTGCGAAAAAAAGATACTTGAGTCTTTTGGCTGTTCATCGGTAAGTGCGTTGTCAAAAAAGCAAAAATTCGAACAGTAAAAAGGCACGAAATATTTTGAACTTACCAAATCAACTATATATTTCTTCAATCTTGTAGCACTTTACCTGACCAAAACCAACGAAGGACAAAAAAGGGTGTGCGACGCGCTTATTTATGTGAACGGTGTATGAATGTATCCAGTGATTTATGAAAAGTCCATTGACCATTGTAAAAAGACAATGCACATTGACGCTATTCATGCCAAATTATATTATAATCATGCAACGCCTTAGGCTTAGGGACAAAGCCTGATAGTCAAACTGTCGCAAAATACAAAAAAAAAACAACTAGATATATATATAATATATCCGACATATTTATTTCCTTTATTTTTCTCAAAAAAAATAAATTTTATGTTTGAAAAGATTAACATGAGGGCCACAAGCGTAAGAATATAGAATATTTCATGCCAACTGTAGCATCAGAATATTTCATAGCAATAGCATAATACTATACATAATACTCACCAGAATGTTGTACATATTTCATATCAATAGCACGATAGCACGTTAGAACGGCACTATAATACGAGAATGTTATACATATTTCATATCATAGCACGATAGCACGTTAGAACGGCACTATAATACTAGAATGTTATACATATTTCATATCAATAGCACGTTAGAACGGCACTATAATACTAGAAGTTATACATATTTCATATCGATAGCACGTTAGAACGGCACTATAATACTAGAAGTTATACATATTTCATATCAATAGCACGATAGCACGTTAGAACGGCACTATAATACTAGAATGTTATACATATTTCATATCAATAGCACGATAGCACGTTGGAACGGCACTATAGTACAAGAATGTTATATACATATTTCATATCAAGTCTATCAATAGCACGATAGCACGTTAGAACGGCACTATAATACTAGAATGTTATACATATTTCATATCAATAGCACGATAGCACGTTAGAACGGCACTATAATTCTAGAAGTTATACATATTTCATATCAATAGCACGATAGCACGTTAGAACGGCACTATAATACTAGAATGTTATACATATTTCATATCAATAGCACGATAGAACGTTGGAACGGCACTATAGTACAAGAATGCTGTACATATTTCATATCAATAGCAAGCACGTTAGAACGGCACTAGTATAGTATCAGAATGTTATACATATAACAATACGTCAATATAGCACGATAGAACGGTACTAGTATAGTATCAGGATGTTATGCATATTTCATATCGATAGCACGATAGAACGGCACTATACTCTATAGTATCAGAATGTTATTATTTATTTCATATCAATACT